CAAGTCTTTCTAGCCTCATCTGTCTGTGGTTGTGTGTGAATGGAGCAGGGAGGGTGTTGGGGGAGTCCCAAATCCCTATAACACTGATACAAAGTTCCAGAAACTATCTGGAAGAAAAAGCGAGAGGGAAATCCCATAGGTGACTGACAAACTTGGAGGTGCACACCCGCTTTGTCCATGAGCCACCCTTGGTCATTCACCTTCCTCCCTTTACTGACTAATGTTCCCTAACTCCTCTTCTAGGTCGTCTCTATTTTCCCCTTAATGCTGCACCCTTGATCCATCTTTCCCTTCACTGCTTGTTCTCTCCTTCCAGCTTCTGCTTCTATTCTCCTTTCAAACTCTTTTTTTTCTCACCTTTTATTCCATCTTCTCTGACCTCATGCTCTGACCTTCACCCCAACCTACTCACCTAGCATCTTAATTTCACAAACTTGACTGAATTTCAAACCAGGAGCTGAAAGAGAATTGGTAAAACGCCCTCCTGATCTGGTTGTGGTTTGCTACTGCTGTCCCAAAATTTCAAAACTCTGTTTGGGTGCAAATTTTGCCAATTTTAGAGATGTATTAAAGGGCTCAGGGAGAAATTTATCGGCTACACTTTTTGGAGTAAGTGTGCATTTTGTACACCTTTTCATGGCCCCAGCAAATTAATTAGTACTGAAGAAAACCACTCATGAGGTCCCACATCGATTTAGGATGATCTGAAGGTGGGATTTTAACATTTGAAAAAGATATTTGTTGTTATTTTGACAAAATTAATTATCAGGCTTTACCTTTTGTGCAATTTGTTTCACTCGCAATAACTCTAAATTCACATATAAAACTTAATGCATGCACGTTTTATACAAATATATGTCCTATTGGTATAAAAAATTTAAGTGGGGGTCAATAGGTCCAGAGATTCAGCTGAATGGTAGTACATGCAATGATATAAGCATGTACTTATGAACTCATCGTATATATATACTTTTTTTTTCAAAACCTGACAAACTCAGCAGAGCCCATCAAAGAGTGGGTGGGGGGCGTCTGCAGGTGGCCACTCTGATCAGTGAGGAAGAGGTCCGGGACGCTCCGGACTCCTAGTTTCGTCCTGCAAATGCAGCCATTTCTTTTGCTCTGACTTGCCCATTTTCAACAGGAAGGCGGCTCTTATCTAGAGTTTTCAGCCTCCGGGCGCTGATTTCCAGTCTGACCACATCTCCTAGTCCGCCAGGAGCTGACAAGATGAGGGCTA